GATGTTCGTTTGGACCTTTCACTGCTATCTCTCTTCGCTAGGTACAGATCTCTCAGGATGGGGGGTGACTCAGGTTGCCACTACTAGCGTGTCAGTGGCGTTACATCCTTCCATATCCGTAACAAGGGGGAACAGGGGAGTACCCCCCCCCCCCCCTTTCATAGGCTATATATACGGGCCTTATGCCTCTTCAAATCAACACAGAACTGCTTCTTCACAACCTGAGATGGCTAGAGCGCCAAAGAACTCTATTAGAGCTTCGATACCATAACCTCGCCATGACCCTTTTCCGACCATTCATCTGCTTCGCGGGCGTCGCCAAAACAACACCTATCTCATTCACCATAAGCAACGCAAATCATTGCCTCCATCACGCAACAATCATCACTCAGACTATCCTCCAAGCGCTCACGGAATCGGATGTCCTACACGGACAACACGAGGTCTTCCGAGTGCAGTGGAATGCCACTCTATCACTCGTCGGCTACCTGACTGCGTATCCGAGTAGTGACACGAGCCACGCATGCCGAGAAGACATCCACTGCGCTCTTCAAGTCCTCGAGATCTTCTCTAGCTGGTTTCCGATGGCGGGTCGCGCGGTGGACGTCGTTGGAAAACTGCTCTCTCGCATCGGATTTCCCATCGACTCCTCCGCAGACACTAGGATGATGTTCGACCCTGAGCTTACTGCGGGCAATGGCGCCTTGCTCCTTGAATATCCTGATTTGGTGCACGATACGATTGCGTAGGACTTTGGATTGGACCCCTTCGCCGTTGCTGTGCCAGGGGATTTGGACGAATGGAGTTTGCAGTCACGGCATTGTGACCAGGCGCCAGGGGCTCCGCTCGCTTTCTTGGATATGATAAGCTTTCAGGAACCGAGGCCGTCAGATGTGTGGAATATCGGGTTGGATGATGAACCTGGCGATATTTAACGTGATACAGTACTAGGTCATAAGTCCGGGCACATGGAATCATCACTGCTTAGATCAAGTCCTCCTTAGTTGACACTACTGTAAGGAGCGTCCCAGCTAGTAAGTAGTTAGTCAGTCAAGAGGCCGCCTAACCTTCACTACTTCAAACTTGACATCGCGCCTAGGTTTTGTGAAGTTCCATGGGGTGGCCTAAGCAGTGGTAAATGCGTGTGCACAGACTTATGATCTCTCACTGTACGAAGATTTCGGCTTGGAGAACGCAATCCGAGGTAGCTTGCGACATCAGTGGAGACGTCGGAAGTGATCTGGTAACGACGATGGATAATAATACGACTGGATTGAAGGCTGATATTTGTGCGGAGGGAAATTTAGGGACGTGAGTGGTTCGATGTATACTAGAATCACTGAAAGATATCGCTGAAAGTGTGGTTATAACAGCATTGCGCTTTAGCTTCTTAGGTCTTAATTCCTAATTTATCTCATGACTCCGGTGGAGGATCTACGGCCAGCCAATCAGACGAAGGCATTGCCAAGCCGGAGTCTAGGAGATACCTCTTAGTCAGGAGGATCCGGAGTCTAGGCAGCATCTCAAGAGAGAACGTTCTATGGAGTCTAGGAGATGTTCTTCGGGCCCAGGGTTCGGCAATTAGGGAATCTGTGAGCCGGGAATTTGAAATCTTCCTTAATGGTCGGCACAGAGCAAGGACTCACTTTCGACACCACCAATGCCACCGACGCGCGCGTCTGTACGCTCTTGGCTCTTGAAATACTTCTGACCTCAACTTTTATTCAGCAGTGACTACGACAAAATATACGCTGCTCTTAAGACCAATAGATTTCATCATGTCCTCAACCACGGAAACACCCATCTACGTCACCATCCTCTACCACACCTCGAACACCCGCTTCGGTATGGCCTACTATCTAGACCACCACATCCCCCTCTCCAAGAACGAATGGGGTCCTTACGAGATGACTAGCTGTGTCGTTTGCGACACCGTCAAGAGTTCAGAGTACGCCGTCATGGTCATCGCGACGTGGAGAAGCATCGAGAGTTGGAACAAAGCGCAAGAGGCAGACTGTACGAAAGCGATTGTGGAGGACGTGAAGAACTATACGGATGCAGAGGCGGTGGTGCTTGTGGGAAGCGTGGTTGGACGAGAGAACCACGTGGGGACTTGGAAGCTGGAGCGAGAACGAAGGAGTGGCGCAGAGACCTCAGGATTTTGGATATACGCTATAGATACAAACTCCTAGACTAGCATTCTATTCGAATGCCTGTTCAGAGGGCTTCTCAATCGCAATTCCCTTCGCCCAATCCATCTTCTTCTCCGCGAAAGCCTCTTGATTCGGTGGTGCGATATGATCGAATAACGACGCTTTCACGATAAGCGCTTCTGGGTGTAAGGGGACCTCTGTCATTACAGAACTAGAATGAAATCAGTGCTACTCTCAAAAGTAGAGTCAGAGTTCGCGAACCTTCCGCAGTTCCCGCAAAAGTTCCGCTACAAAGAGCGCATCAGTAATGGCCCTATTGCGCATAGTCGCCCAGCAGTAGTTTTAGACATACAATGATGGTATTTCCGCTATCCGTGTTGCTATCGTGATATCTCTTCAGGACGCTCTTCGAATCGCTGACGATTGCGGTGGATTTTGCGAGGGTGTAATTGAGAGAAGCAACTACGAATCGTTGGCTTCGCAGAGGAGCTAGATTCCTGATAGATACTCACGGACGCCTCCGGCTCGACGGAAATTTAAACTTGATTAAGTCAGGATGGAGCTTTCTAGGCTTGCAAAGGATGAAACACGAACCAAAAGCAGATAAGAGAACTAGCAGGTTGGTCGGGGAGAGTGACGCGGACACTCCCGCAATTACAGTGTCCTTGGATTGACATGTTCAAGACTATGAGAAATATATGAAATGTCGTGATTTTTAGAAAGTTAGTGATAACGCAAGATACTGAGGAGTGGAAACCTAAAGTCCGAGCGAGGTCCATCAGATGTTTTTTTGTTTCCGGGATCTAGACTGAAAGGGGATGCTAGTATCCGTAGATGTGGATCTATATAGAGTGCCCCACCACATTATTTTTTCCTATTGACTTTCTTCCTGCGTCTGTCGATTTGATTTTCAGCATACAGTCAGCTTCTGTTGCGGAGATTTACGGCATTAGGATGAGAATCTGGGAAACGGCACACATTTTTGAGCCCTAACAAATCAATTTTAGGGGACTCGACTATCTGGGACTAAAACCTTTACCAACTTGAACGCTCCAGAATGGAGTGCTGTACGCCCCCGCTACCTCAAAAATTCCCAGTGTACTCGCTTCCCGTCATAACCTCGAACGATACATAACGCGCAAAGCGTCCTGAAGCCGGTTGGGAGTTTCAGTCATCTCAATCCCAATCAGAAACCACTTTCAGTAATGTCCCGAATCGGCGTAATCGTCCACCTCTGCGTCGGCCTCCCAGTATTTGCCTGATTCATGGCAACCTTCGGGCCACCCTCCATAGTATCCAAATACAAGAACTGTCCGTCATACGCGTTCTCCAGGTGCCACGTGCCATCGCCCCAGGGCTTGATAGTCCAGAACTGGCCCGAAAAGAAGCCTGCTTTATCAAGCACTGGCGTCAGCTTGTCGTTACTATAGACGTCGAGCTGGCGATCGGGGCCGAGGAAGAGGGTGCGAAGGGCGTAGGTCCCGTCGCCGTTGGACTTGATCTGCCAGTACTGGCCAGTGAAATTTCCGTCGCGAGCCATTTGAAGGAGGCCGGTACTGTTGGGGCCGTTGTCGTTGATGACGTCGAGGGAGTCGGTCTGAGGCTGGAATGTATTTTTGAGTCGGTACCATTTCTTTGGGTCGAAGTCACCCGTAGGAGGTTGGTTAATGGGCTTGACGGTGATGTTGAATGTTATGGAAGCAGCTGGTGGAGGGATGCCTGTCACGGAGACATACGTATCATTTCCAGCATACGCCTTGCTATCCGGATTAGATGTGGCGTTGAAGGTGGAATTGTTGGCAAGACCAGGAAAAACATCGCCAGCATCTCCACGGCCGAGGTTGGCCTTGAGTTGATCGAGTCCGTCGGCTTGCATGATCTTGACTTTGGGATGGTTCTCGTCTGTGTTGGACGACACTGAATCGTCAATGTGCCAGACGAGTAGACCGGCACCAGGTAAGGACTCGTCAAAGCCTGTAAGCTGCCTATTCTCAATCAGATAGTACTCCTGGCTATTTGAGTCGCCATTGGTCCAGAGTCGATGGGTCTTCAGGCCAGACTTGACATCTTGAAGGGTAATCTGGTGGTTCTCCGTCTCCGTGACGGTGCCAATCCAGTCTTGCGTTTGCTTGCACCCTTCTTTGAATTAGGACGACTATGTCTTAATGGATGTGGAATGAATCATACATGCTGAAGGGTGTACAGGTCGGTCCCCGCTTCCTCCCCAGGAACCGAATGACATAAGGCACCAATTTCCGATACCGGCAGAGCTATAGTCGGTGTCATAGAGGTCAGGCCAGCCGAACACTATCATTGGTAAGCTGATCGCATCTATCAAAGACTCGCAAATGAACTTACGTAAATGCCCCAATTCATGTGCGCATACACCACACTTGGCATCTTCTGGTACGGTCAAGAATCCATAAATCTTCACACCTAAACGCAAAGTAAGTTAGAACGAAGAACATAAGGAGTAGTGGATAGGCGTATACCGTTAACTTCTCGCTCTGCTGGCAGAGTCCATTTGATGCTCCAAATGTCGTTCAGGTTTCCCGTTTCTTCGGCACCTCTACCCGCATGAATGACCACGAAGGCATCGACCTAGGTTTACTGTTAGCATCTAAAAAGAATGACATCAACTTCAAATTCTTACATAGCCATTGCCGTCGTTGTCATATGGTGCGAAGTCGATGAGTCCAGTGGCTTTGTCCAGTGCTTCGTTCGCCATAGACATGGAATTCGGCTCAGGCCAGCCACGGCCGTAATCTCAATCCAAAGTCAGCAACTATGTCTCGAATAATATATAAAGTAGAGTGCCCACTATTGTTGGCATAATAAGCCAAGTCCTTGCTGAGTGTGAATGGTCCAACAACCTCACCAGTAAGTGAGATCTTCTTGTTGGAGACTTCTGAGTAGTATTCGCTAACAGAGCCAGTCGCAATCTTTCCGGTGGAGAAAAAAAGGTCCTGAAAGCGTTCCTTCGCGTCGGCCGCCATTTTCACGTCTTGGAATTCGACGAGAACAATTGCAACCCTAGGAGAGTGCACGTGGTCAGAGATGGCAATAAATAATGTCTGAATCACAACCTACTTAAGGGCGCCACTCAAAGGGGTTCTCTCAAGCGCAGCGTTACTCATTGCCATGATAGAGGTGCGTTGTGCGAAGTGAGACTGGGGAAAGATTGTGCCGTCATTCATACCCGGCAACCTTCGCTCTCCTCCGATGAGGTCATGGGCAGTTGCTTTGAAGGATCGTTCGTTTGCAGTCCCTTGCACCTTCAAGGCCGCAGTTCTTGTACGTGCGAGGAGGTCGGGATGAGGAGGGACGAAGCATGGTGCATCAGAATGGCGAGGGGCCATGATGATCTTGGACTGAGGAGAATAGGGCGTTGAGTGGCAAGATGTTGAATTGAGATGGAAGCTGTCGAAGTTTTGGAATGAAGTAAGCAATGATAAAAGCGAGAGAGATAGCAAGATAATGCTGAAGAATATATAGACATATGAGAACCCATCGTTGGGTTACAGTAGCGTGGCGGTATCTAGGTTAGCTGGCCAGATGCTGTTGTCGCCAATGTGGAGCTGAAAATTGGGAAAGCTGAGAGCAGCTGCGTTACAAAAACTACAACATAGCCAATGAAAAAAGCTTTCAGATGAGGCTTGCATGCTGATAATGCGGAGTGCAACTGTGGAGAAGTCAGCCAGGCGCCAAGCACAGCTGAAGCTTCCCCGCATTCCTTTTCTTGGAAAGCGTCGCAACAGCTGGACCTAAGAGATGGGAAATGTGGCTTAATTCGATATGAATATGCGGTGGATTGATCAAACTGAGTTTTCCGTGGCGTAACGGGTGCAATCTGGTGATGACGAGCTGAGCTGACAGTTTGATAGCATTAAGCAACGATGCCTACCAGCGGGACGGCATAATAGTATTATAGTGCTCAATGGGAAGTTTCGATACCATATAAGATAGTGTCTTTAATTCTCCTAGAAATAAAGCCTCCTCCTTTACATATTGAAGAGAGAAACCGAGAGGCTGGGAAATCGATAAAAGACGGTCTGAAGGTCACCGCCTGAAGTAAGCCGAGAAGCGCCAAGACGTACTTTGACGGCCCGTTTGCAGAAAGGCGTTTTGTTCTCACAACGGATAGGCTGGTGCATTTTCGTGATCAGCTTTCAGCCGCCACAGCAGGACCAGAGCGGCAGGGCACAGATTGAGGTTCAGGTGATCAACACTTAGATTCATGCAACGCCCGCTTAGGTAGTCAGCCAAGGATTGTGCCATTATGGTAGGGTATATGGGTCTCAGCTTGGGCGCTGATTGATCTGTGATATATGAAGGTGGTGGAAACAAGGACGGGACAAGTGGAGCGCTAGCAGACTTGGCGCGCTATACTATTTTAGAGACATACACACATATATATAGACCGATTCTTAGCTCGTGAAGCAACACGGCAGGATTGAAAGGCATGAAATATTCCGTTAGTTGCCAATCATTGACGAGGAGCTGATCCCGATAATAACTCCTCAAAACGTGACCTGCTTCTTGGCGACGCCTACCAACCTACATAGCCCACTTGTTCGTCTCAGTCAAACAGCTATGTACCTGCAGAGTGTGGGAATTAGTGTGTTTCGGGCGAGTGATACGCTGTTGTCTTTTCATAGGAGATCTATCTGCATTTAACGGTAATTTTGAGCTTTCCGGAGAGCATAAATGGTAGGACAGTATTACGATTTTCACTCTCATAGAGGACGCCCATCAGGATCTTGATGGAGCAGAGCAATAGATGATAGCTATGGCCTATATACTCCATAGTCTATCACTCTATTGACAACGAAGTCAAATGGGGCAAATTCGACCAGAGGCCATGATGTCTAGTTTATTTTCTATGTTCGAGCCTCCTAGCCAGACCTCCAGAACCATATATCTACTCTTTCAACACGATACTCAGAGGCTGACTTTTCTGAGCTTAAGGATGAGAACATAGCAGGAGCCACAGTTAGTTCAAAGCACGGGAGGCGGCCGCTCGCGCCACCAGGGAAATGCGACTGCTATTGATCTAATGCCCCCAAAGCCATGAAGCATGACTAAGTTCTTATATAAGGCTAATTTCTGAAGACATGAGTTGCTTGATTTGGTTTTCCATACTCAAAAAAGACCATGTGTATAGCTGTCCTTCTCGTTCTGGGTGTCACTGCTTGATACAACAGATGATCGAGCAGCCAGCAAGGTCACTGCATATAGCTTCTATTTCTCCGGATGCTTCAACGCTATGAAGCTCCGATGTAGAAATGAATCTTTTAGTGAGAGCGCTTGAAAACGGAACCTCGAGCTCTTAGCGAATCCTAGAGCCAGATATACATGGAACGTGGCCTCCGCTGTCTTTCAGTCATTCAAAGACCAGCAAGATTCGTCATTCGCTTCGAGCAAATGCTTCAAAATGGGCTTCGGCTAGTTGCTGCCACGTTTTCGAATGACTCGGCGTCCCTCCACGGAACATGACAAGCAAGAGTTTCTGGTGGTTTACCGAAGTGCTGGGACAATCATAGAACAGCTACTACTCTTAGTGTGAACAGACACCGTTTCCGTATAGCCCTGGCAGGGGATCTTTTGAAGTCCTTGGAACACGGAAGCTATTTGGCCCGCGCTTATTGCCTAAGAATTAGTGCAAACTGTCTAATACTCGATTTAGACTTAATTCTTATGGATTTGTCCGAGGTCCAGAGAACATGGCAGGCTGACATTGGAAGTTGTCAGACATCAGCAACAACCGTAGAGCATCGACGGCTTTCCTTAGATTACGAAGTCTGGGCTCATAATTTTTCTGGGTTTCGCTTCTGAGGACATCAGGTTTCTAGGTGGTAGACTGCCAAACTTCGTGAATGTAATTGAATAATACTTCAGGTTTGAATACCATGAACCGCATCCTTACCAAATGATTCAAGGATTGCAAATCATCAAGAACTCATCGATCTTGGTCCAAGGTCCAGCGACGACCACATAGCACTCTAGCCTTTTGGGTTTCGAGGCCATTCCTCTTTTGTCATCTGCTTTATTTGCCGACATTCAGTACATCATCTCCTGGTTGTCATTTGTCTGTGACAGGGATTCTTCACAAAATCATGACTGCCCTGCAAAATTCCTTTCGGTACTCTAAGTTGCATAAACCATTTCTGTGTGCCTCTCAACCCTTGTCTAGAACACCAAAACATGTACGATTAGTCTGATGGGTCCTGAAAACAGCACAGACTGCTGCTACCATCCTCTCAAGCAATCCGAAGGTGTGAAACATGACGTGTACCTCAATAGGGGTTCGAAGGAGCCATCGGAAGACCCATAGGGCAATTTAAGAAGATTGAGAGCTACCGATCCCCTTTTTCTCAACGTAAGCGTGGTGTTGGCTGAAGCCCGAGGATCATAATGAACCGAACTACACTATCCTCGATCTACCGCACCGACCATACCCTCATTGAAGACCTCGAGTAGACACCAGACATCATCGTATTGCAGTCTAGCCTAAGATGTCTCGCAGGGCGGCACATGGCAGCGATTAGTTCGAGACGTTTGCAACATGCGTTTGTGGATGGCGGGAATCTTAAAGGTCCAGACCGCGAAGATCTGGCAGTGCGGTGATGCTGCCCTACAAGCGTTCTAGGCCGTGAAGTTAGAGGACCAGGAGGCATCAGCCCAGAAGATTTTTTCGCAAGTGCAAAAAACGGCCATTCAAGGGATCAAGGTTCTCTGTTAAAGGCCGACCGAAACATGAGATATCTCCTCAGGATCTTTCGAACAAGGGGACATATGGCCCCATAGCATTACAACTGTTTGCAACATATCATCGTCATCGATCAGAGTTCAGATAGAAGACTTCGACGGCTCGTGCACGCTGACACCTCGTGCACGCCTCACCAAGAAATCCACGGCTCACAACATGAAGCTTTTCAACACAACACAACGAGATCTATACACAGAAATCAAGGAGGAGAGGCAAC